TTTTTTGAGAGATTTTCACTGTAGGGCGCGTGCGCTCGCCAGACAGACAGAGAGAGACATAGAGACAGAAAGCGAGAAATCACCCCCCAGGGGGATGGTCACGCCGCAATCCCTTCTCCTCCATTCTCCTCTCGGGATCTTGGGCACGCACGCACACGCGCCCGGCATGAGTTTTTTTAAGCCACCGGGTCCGGGACATGAACCGCGGTCGACTACGTGGGAGTCCAGCGACATAGCCATTACGCTAACTGCTGGTTCCCGAGAAGCTTTGGGAGCAGAGAACAGGAGTCCTGAACCTAATTTTGGTGGGGAATAATAGGGAGAGGAAGGCTTCCCAGCAGACATGAGATTTAAACTGAGCCCACCTGTGGTTGGATAACCAGGACTCCATTCCCAGAAATGAAACCAAATAGCAACTTGGGTGGGATTCCCTCTGGGGAGAGACTTTTGTCAGGGTTCACCACTATATCTCAGTGCCTGGAATGGGTTCCTGTTGAATCAGTTCCTTAATGCTCCTAGTCTTTCCAGGGGAATTTTTGTCAGAAATCTAGAAATTCAGAGTTCTTCTCATTTCCTTGTCATCACCTGGGCTCACAGAGATCAGAAGGGTTAGTCATTTTCTAGCTCAATAGTTTTCAGGCTATATCATGTTGGGGCCTATGGCTCATAAAAAATCAAAACGAAAGTCAGTTATCTTGTTGAAATTGGTGTTTCAGTGACGATTATGGGGCCAAGGGGAAGGAAGCAGTCTGCTGCTAAAAAGTGTGAGCCCACAGAACTGATCCCAGGCCCCATTCTTTGGGTGAAAAGATGGAGATGCACATCAACAGTAATTTCTAGAGTGATGAAGATATGTGCAACTTGTCAGGCAGGGAGGATTTGTGGAAATCTGGGAAATAGACTTGTCTGTTTGTCAAGGTTAGTGCCAAGTTTAGTGCTTGGCTTAAGTAAATGGTTGATTAGTTTATGTAGGGATCAAAGATGTGTTTTTGCTGCCATATCGTTACACAATGATTGATTTATGTGGTTCTCTCTGGTCAAAACCTGACATTTCCATTCTTGTGGCTTTTCTCATCTCAGCTCTCTGAATGTCAGTGTGGGTGGGGCGGGAGAGTTCACTGTCCGGATGGCCCTCTTCCAAGACCAGAACTACACTCGTCCTTACGAAGGGTCTTCGGCTGTGCTATCAGTTGAATCCATGCTCTATGTGGGCGCCATCTTGGAGAGAGGGGACACCTCCCGCTTTAACCTGTTATTGAGGAACTGCTATGCCACCCCCACGGAAGACAAGGCTGACCCTGTGAAATATTTCATCATCAGAAACAGGTACTGGGTGAATCGGGGATTATAATATCTGCTGACCTTAGTGAGGTTTGGGGAAAATGTTTACCTCATCCACCCCAGGAAATTGTGTAAGTTGGTTGACCTTTTTTGGAAATAACTTGGTGTTACATATCATGACTATGCCCTTTGAACCAGGAATGTCTCTCTTGAGATTTTTAGCCCAATGTATTAACACAAAATAGGTAGGCAGAGTTAGGAAATGCCTGTTATTTTTCATTTTAATGTTCTTGATAACATTGGGAATAGGTTCGTTGATCAAAAATAGGAACTCAATTCATGACAGGCAGTTATACAGTTGTTAATACTGATCAACATGAAAACAATAAGGTAAGTATTACAGAATAAAATATTAGCTGTGCTATCAGTTGAATCCATGCTCTATGTGGGCGCCATCTTGGAGAGAGGGGACACCTCCCGCTTTAACCTGTTATTGAGGAACTGCTATGCCACCCCCACGGAAGACAAGGCTGACCCTGTGAAATATTTCATCATCAGAAACAGGTACTGGGTGAATCGGGGATTATAATATCTGCTGACCTTAGTGAGGTTTGGGGAAAATGTTTACCTCATCCACCCCAGGAAATTGTGTAAGTTGGTTGACCTTTTTTGGAAATAACTTGGTGTTACATATCATGACTATGCCCTTTGAACCAGGAATGTCTCTCTTGAGATTTTTAGCCCAATGTATTAACACAAAATAGGTAGGCAGAGTTAGGAAATGCCTGTTATTTTTCATTTTAATGTTCTTGATAACATTGGGAATAGGTTCGTTGATCAAAAATAGGAACTCAATTCATGACAGGCAGTTATACAGTTGTTAATACTGATCAACATGAAAACAATAAGGTAAGTATTACAGAATAAAATATTATTAAGTACCATTAACTGACCAAAAAAAAAAAAAAACAAGGAAAATGCCTATCTATAGATCATGATTCAAATATATTGTAGTAATAGTATTAGCTAATATTTATCATTGAATTTAGCCATGTACCAAGCTATGTACCAATACTTGAATTATCTCATTAAATGCTCACATCAACTCTATGAGGTGTCTATTACCGTCTCCACAGCGCGGAGTAGAAAATGGAATCTCAGTAAGGTTAAGTAGCCTTCCTGATCACTTAGCTAGGAAGTGTGTTTGGCTGGAATTTAAAAATCAGTCTGTCGTACCCCTGAGACTGTGCCCCAAATAATTTAAACCATGTAAGCTTGTGGATGACATTTTGAAAGAAACAGAAGTCTATTTTCATGATGGTGGGAAGTTGAGGGCCCCTTACTGTTCTCTGATACTGTTTTCAGAAGTTATACCCTTGCCCCATCCCCCTTCCAGCTGTCCAAATCAACGTGATTCAACTATCAATGTGGAGGAGAATGGGATATCCTCAGAAAGCCGGTTCTCAGTTCAAATGTTCATGTTTGCTGGAAATTATGACCTAGTTTTCCTGCATTGTGAGGTTCATCTCTGCGATTCTGTTAAGGAACAGTGCCAGCCGGTGAGTGTCTCTTCTAACTGGACTACTTGGTGCTAGCATGGGACCTGTCACCTAAGCTCTCCATGTATCTTTATTAGAATTATGGGGGGAGAGAGGGAGAGAAGGAAGGGAGGAAGGAAGGCAGAAGGAAGGAGAGAAAGAGATAGAGATAGAGAGAGAGAAAGATACGTGGATGGATGTGAGGGAGGGAGGAAGAGAGGGAAGAAGGAAGGATGAATAAATGAATCCTGGGACTCCTAAAAGCATATTTGTAAACAGTTATTGTGTGCCCCAGAGGCCAATCAGAGGAAAGAGACTGTCCCCTAGGCTTTCTTGGCACAAGAGATATTTAAAATTATTGTAATAATAATTGGCTTTTTTGGTGCTTACTTTGTATCAAATACCATGCTGAAAATTTTACATACCTTACCTAATTTAATTCTCACAACAACCCTTTAAGTATATTCTTTCATTGTCTCCATTATACAAATAAGGAAACTGAGGCTCACAAAAGTCCATTTTCCACAAGTTAAGTGCAGTTTGCAAGTGTCAGAGCTGGGATGTGCCTCCACTGAGATGTGACTCCAGAGCTCACATTTGTACCCCAGTGTGGCGCTGCTTATAAATAGCTGGCCTCTACGGGGTGCTTAGTATGGGCCTCTGTGTTGCAGACACACCTCTGAGAATTCTCCAGATTGAAATAACTACAGTGTCAGCGTTAGGGCCAACTGAGGGCCCCAGGTCTTAGGGCCAGATTTGCACATGGCAGGGGCAATCTGGATGGAAATCAACCATTTAAATTTTGATATAATGAGAGTTCTCCATCCCCACAGTCCTGCTCAAGAAGTCAACTCCGCAGTGAAGCACTGGCCATTGACCTGGCCCAGGTTCTAGATTTGGGACCCATCACTCGGAAAGGTAAGTGACCAAGTCCTGGGACAAGGCTAGTGACCAGATGCTGACAGCCAAATACAGATGCCTGGGGTCACTAGCTCAGCTACGCAGGGCTTTTATGCCTCTTAGTATTCACGCTATTCTTCCATGAGTTGCTCTGGACAATAATAATTACATTGCCATTTGTAGTGGGCCTCGAGTGCTAGAGACCAGGCTAAGTTCTTCATCCACTGACTCTTTTAATCCTCCCATGACTGTGTCTATTTTATAGGTTAAAAAATCAAGAATTAGATTAGTGACTCACCCCAGATGTTTCTGCTCCAGAGCAGTTGGTGTTAAGATTAGAAGCAGCTCAGTCTGATTCTGATTCTAAACCATGTGGCCCTTTCCTTACCCCAGTTGTTCTCAGTCCCCATAACCCAGACCCTTTTGGATGAAGCCTAAGTCCCAACTCCATGTAAAGGCAACTTTGTTTTCTGGTGAATGGCTGTTTTTCTGTTTTTTTTTTTAGATAGAGATTTTTGTTACAGGGCACATGTGCTTGCCGGAGACAGAGAGAGAGAGAAAGCAAGAAATCACCCATCTCGGGGGGGATGGGTATGCATGCACATGTGCCTGGCATGAGTTTCAAGGTACAGGTCCAGGCCTCAAACCACACCTAGCCAGGTGGCAGTCCAGCACCTTAACCACTAGAAATGACTGTTTTTCAAAACTCAGTTACAGTATTCTAGAGTATGCTATAGGGGAAGCATTACGACTTCTCTAATTTTCATCTATCCTGCACATGGGTTAGCAGCATTACTGTGAGTTTTATTTACATCAGAATGGAGAAGTCAAGAAATCCCAAAGAACGTAAGCACGTTTTCCCCTAAAGAAGTTAAAATGTAGTGATGGTACTAATTGCAGCAATAATGAAGCATTCGCTGTACCTGGCCCCACGCCAAACTCCTTTCTCTGAATTATCACTTGGAATGTCCACGAAAGCCCGCGAGAATGAGTGCTAGCACCATTTTCATTCTCCAGAGGAGTAAGCAGAGCTGTCTCATGAAGAAGGTGATGCACTGAGTTCTTCGGCCCTTTTATTGGGCCTCAGTTTGAAGCCTTATATGATGCCACAAGGTAGCTAGGGGCCTAGAAATTTCCACTTTGGAATCAGCCAGCCTGGAGTTCAAATCCCAGCTCTTCTACTGCCTGGCAAGTCCCTCTGTATCACTAAGCCTTAGTCTTCTTATTTGTCCAAGGGGAGAATACTTTGGTCACAAATCTCTCAGGAAGACTAAGTGGAAAATGCATGAAATGTGTTTAGAAAGGTGCCTGCAGGTAACAGATGCCTCAACAGTGTGGACTGTCAGTGGTTGTGACGACCAGGTCCAGGAGGGTATAGAGCAGCTGCTGCCCAGTGCTGTAGTCACCACAGTGTCACCCACTGCTCTCATTCACAGGTGCTGAGTCTCCTGGTGTCATGAATGGAAACCCCAGAACTGCAGGTACGCTTTTTTCTCGTGTCTTTCTCAACTCTCTCTCTTTTTTTTTAATTTAAATTTTTTTTTCTGGGAACCAGCAGTTGGCGTAATGGCTATGTCACTGGACTCCCACGTAGTCGACTGTGGTTCGCGTCCTGGACCCGGTGGCTTAAAACTCACGCCAGGCATGTGTGCGTACGTGCCCAAGATTCTAAGAGGAGAATGGAGGAGAAGGGACTGCGGTGTGACCATCCCCCCTGGGGGGTGATTTCTCGCTTTCTGTCTCTATGTCTCTCTCTGTCTGTCTGGCGAGCGCATGCGCCCTATAGCGAAAATCTCTCCCCCCCCCCAATTTTTTTTTTCTTATTACTCATACATTAAATCACTATACATCATTTAGATGGTGAAGAATTCCGCTCACATTTATTCAGCCTCTTCTATGTCCCAAACCCTGTGCTAGGGACTGTGTACACTGAAATGAACCAGACCCAAGACTGGTTCTTTTTTTCCCTCTTTAATATATATTTTTAAGTTTATTTATTTATTTCTTGTGAGAGCAAGAGAGAGGGAGACAGTACCCCTAATAGGATCTTGATGCCACAATCTACTCCCAGCTTCAATCGGCCACGGATCATGGGTACATGCACGGATCATGGGTACATGCACGGATCATGGGTCCGGCATCCTCAGGGAGATCTCCAGATAGCTCAGATGTAAACTCAGAACCTTCTCTTGTGTGTTAGCTTCAAAAGCATCATATTTTACCATATTATCATATTTATCATATGTGCCACTGTCCAACTCCAAGACTGGTTCTTCAGATGTTCCCATTCTAGCAGAGGAGACACTTGACAACAAACGAAATGCCTATTGTATAGGCACTAAATACATGATGGTGAACAAGACAAGCCAGATGCCAACCCTCATAGAACTTGTGTTGCAGTGTGAGAAATAGACAATAGAAAATAAACAGTATTTCAGAAACAAAAGAAGGTGCCACAATAAGTTACTGGCATGAATAATAATGCTTTAAATAAGATAAAGTTTATTTCTCTTGCACATAAATAAAAGTCTGGAAGGAAGCAGTACACGGCTAGGGGAGCGGCATCATGAAATTGTCAAAGACCAGAGTTCTTCCAGCTCACCCCTCCACCATCTTTAAAGGTCCAAGATGGATCCAGATGCCAATCTTCGTATCTATGCAGCAGGATGGAGGGAACAGGGAGAAATCAATGAACGTTAAGGAATATTCCCAGAAGCTGGCTCCTCATACCCTCATTTATATCTCATTGGCCAGTGTTTAGTCACATGGCCACACTTGGTTGCAAAGGAAGCTGGGAAATGTCATATTTTTTTCTGGGTGGCCATGTGCTTATCCTATGTTTGATGCTTTTATTATCAAGGTAGGTAGGAAGGAAGAATGAGGATTGTAGTGGATAAATGGTCAGAAAATTCTTCAGATAAATTGATATTTAAACCAAATAAGAAAAAGGATCAAGGTGTGCAAGTATGGGAACGAGCCTTCTGAGCAGAGGGAACACCAGTTCACTGCCCAGAGACAGGCACAGGAGCAAACAAATGACAAGCGAGTAGATAATACAGATAGAGCACCTAGAAGACTAATCCACTACGCTGGATAAGATCAGGAAGGAATTTCACCAGGTAGTACAATCTGAATGAGGTTTTGATGAATGACTTGGCATTCAAAAGACAGAAAAAATGAAGAAATATATTTTGGACAAAACAAAAACACATGCTATTATTTTGCTACTCCCCAAAATGACCTATATTGGTGAACTCAGACATGATAAAAGTCTTTCTGCCCTCAAATCTCCAATGACCTAGGAGTCTAAAAATGTCTAACCAAATCCCAAGTCTAAGGATGACCTCTCTGCTCATTGCTAACATTCAAACGATGCTGAGAAAATTAATATTTGTTGGAGAGAGTGTTTAGAGCTCAGACTAAAACAGCTGGAAGTCAGAACCGTGAGCCTCATTCATTTCAGCTAGTCCTTCAAATTAGAACAGTGCCTGGAACAGTTTGCTTCTCCCTAGAGTTTGCTGGATTGACTAATTTCTTAGGGTGGGTGGTAGATTTTGGAACCTTTTGGAAGATGAGGGGATCAACCTGATGGTGAGGTAACAGACCACCACAAGGGGGCACCTGTGGTTTTCACTGTTTGTTATCTTCCACAATTTATTTTCTGATGTTTTAAAATCAGTTGAACATCAACCTGTTTATAATGATAAACTATTGGCTCATCAGAAAAGTCATGACATATTTTCCTATGTTTTTCTTTGCAAAAATGAGTCATGGCGTTTTGGATGACTCAAAAGTTGTCCTGCCCTTCTATAGGTCTGAAACTTTAATATTCATCTCTCTACCTCAAGGATATCAGCATGTCACTGTAAAATTGGGCCCTCTAGGCCCCCTGACACAAGGTAGCTATCATCTGTGGTCTTTATTAACACCGAGTTCATAGCAATGTGTAAAAATGACATGATCTAGTCATCACAGATCTTAGAATCTAATTTTCAAAACTAACACTTACGTGGTGTTTACCATGGGCCACACACTTCTAAATGCTGGATATGAATTCACTTATTTATGTACAAAATCCAATGAGGTAACAGAGGGTATTGACATTTCAGTTTTGTGTACAGGGAAACTCAGGCACAGAGAGGTTTAAAAACTTGCTTAAAACTGCCCAGATAGTTGTAGATGCTAAGCTAGGTGGTCAGGCCTCAGAGGCAGTGCTTTCAATCTTTGTGCCTTTCTGCCTCTTCAGTAATAGCAAAAATAATGCTAGCAGCTGCAGCAAACAACCTGTCTGTGCCTTCACCCCACAGTACCATGCTCCACTAAGCTACTGGATGAGCAATGTAGCTCTGCTCCACGTAGTCATTAGGCTCCCACTATCTTCTGGTAACTTGGTGGCAACTCCAAGATCTCTTGTGAGTCCTCTCCTGGATCCTCTGCATCTGTTCCTTAGATGGCGGATGAGTCAGGATGCAGGAGCATGTAAGAGGTTTTAAGGACCATGCCTAGACATGGCATAAATAGCTTCTACCTATATCTCATTGGCTAGATTCAGTCATATGGTCCCTCCTACCCACAAAGAAGGCTGGGAAAAATTCCTGTGTGCCCAGAAGAAAATGGAAGAAGTGGTTGGTAATCAGATGGTGGGGTGTGTGCCGTAAGATTGTCAGGCGTGGTAACCCAGACCGTATACTCGGAAAGCACTGCCTCTCATCCTCAGGCAGCATCAAACAAGGAGACCATCTCGTGTTTGCAGCTGAGTTCTAAAGCCCAACACCTGACAGTCATCTCTTTTGTATTTCAGAACCCTTGATGGCATGGCGGATCCTCCTCCTGCCTGTCCTCCTGGCTTGGTTGTTCTGAGAGCTCAGCTGAGCATCTGGCCTCTGGCAATGGCTTCCATTTACCCTTCAGCACTCCTCCTCCCTCTCCAGATCAAGCAGATAGTCTTGGTATTAACATGCTGAAGTCCAGGATAGGTATGAGGAAAGGGAAGCTTTCACCTTCTTTTTGACACTCCCAGTGCTTTTGTATTCTTTCCCACGGTGGGGCCCTGTCATCCTTGTTCTGGGCTGGCTCTCTCATTCATTATAGGGATCTGAAAACAAACTTGCTAACTGCCTCTGTGGCCCCAGCCTTTACCAGAAGGGCAACATATGTTTATAACTTCGGGGAAGAGGTATCCCATCATGGGGTGGTAGGTGGGGTGAACACATATAAAAGGCCCACTCATGACTCCTTTCCAAGCATCTCCTGTTCTAACTGCTGATGAATTGAACGGACCCTTGTGTTCATTTGCTTCCTCTGATGTGTTTCCATCATGGTCTCCACAATAGCCATGGGGACAGGTAAAGGGGCTACATTTGGAGACTCTGCTCCAGGGAAGACTGGTCCCCATCACTCCGCAGTCCCCCACCAAACCACAGGCATGCTGTGATGTGCCTAGAGCTAACTGCACAAATGCTGACCCCTGGGCCCTGGATGCTGCAGGAACTGCTTGATTTTGATGCAGAGAACAACTCTCATTGTACATCAGGGTGTGCTGAAGGGTTAAGCAGGGAATGTGAGCAGAAAATGAGGCACCAACCTTGCTGTGGGACTGTAGCAGTGAAGCCTGGGGGATGGCTGAAGACCCTTTCTGGGAACCTTTCATGAAACTTCACAAAGCACTCCTCAAGGAAGCTGCAAATGGAAACTGTTTCCCTTCCCCAGTGGCTGCACATTAAGCCTCTCCATGCTAGTCTCAGAGAGAATGTCAGCAGCCAGGGCCAGATCACTGGGTGCTGAGCCTGTGTCTCTGCTGGGAAGAGACTTTTCAATGTGCTGCCTTGTTCAGAGATAGTGTGGTTGCAAGAAGAAGAAGACACTAACTCCAACTAATGCAGGTATAAGGGGAATTCATATAAGGCTATGTGAGGATAAAGCCCAAGGGTAGGAGAGACATCCTGGCTGTGCATGCACTGGGAATGGACCCTGGCAGGCCACAAGAAACCAGGGTTGTCCATTTTCCTATCATTCTTTCTCAAGCCACATAGCCTTTTACACCTGCTTATCCTTGTGTGTCTCCTACTATTCCCTCCTCTCTGAAGCCAGCTTTTCCTGTTTATTCATCCCTTGGTCAAATATAGGCATTCCAGCTTCTTATCACTACCTACTTCAGAGATCAGCAGAAATTGACAAGCATCTTGTTATCCCACATTCAAACGACACCAGCTGTTGAGTCGCTTAGGTACGAGGCCAGGCAAGTGGGTCCATCTAAGTAAAAAAGAGTTGATGGCTATGATTTGATGAGGCAGGTCTCAGACAAATGGGACTGTTTCTTGGACAGACACTCTTCAAAGACCACTATGATAATGGTTTCATTAAAAGAGGGCCTTCTGGAAAGAATTGATTCCTGTTTCCTCAGTGAGTCAGAGAACTTGTATGTACATTTGAAAGGAGGTGAGATGGTTGGAAAAAGCCTGGAGGAGAGCTCTGGAGGTTCTAACCTCCCTTCTCTGAGGTTCAGCTTCTTCCTTCTGCAGAATAAGAGGAGTTGGACTAGATCAAGATTTTCAGATATTTTTTTAACTAGTAGAACTATTCCTTCAAATACAGTTCTATGCAGACATCTAATATATAGAGATTTAAAGCAAATAGACTCTTGTCGATGTCAGGTAGGGAGCTTAGCTCTCCAATTCTGTGATTTTCTCCTCAAGCCCTCAAGGAAATTCCATGATAACCCACAGGGCTACCAAGGACAAAGTTTTGGAACTCCCTGTGACATATGAACGCTTTCTTCTAGAATAAACTACATAGGATTCCACGTAACTAAAGTCAACCCTAGCTGTCTGTCTTATGACTTCCTATCTGTCTATATCATCTATGTATCTATCACCTATCTATCATCCAAAATCTATCTATCTATCATCTATCTTTCTATCTATCTATCTATCTATCTATCTATCTATCTATCTATCATCTATTCATGCATCTATCATATCTCTACTTATTTATCATTTAGCCAGACAACTAGCTATATATATTTTTTTGTTTGTTTGTTTGTTTTGTTTTGTTTTCTGCAAACGAGTGAACTGATTAACAATCTCTGAATGTCTAGTCCACTTCATTCATTTGGTCAACACAAATTTGCTGAATAACTGCTATGTCTCAGGCCCAAGTCCTTGGATACAATAATGAATGAGGCACTGCCTTTTCCCTTAGAAAATTCATGATCCTGATGGAACACACACAGAGATATACATATATATCTGCTCAACACTCAAATATATATATCAGCTGACCCTCACACTCAGACCTTGTACCCCCTGATGCTTCCATCCACACCAATATAAATAGTCTAACAAATATACATATCAATCTCATGCCCAAAATACACAATGGCACAGGCAAAGAACCTTGCCTGTATCCTCAGGCCCAGCTCTGAAGAACTATGTAACAATATTTTTAGCACACTCTATTTATTAGGCATTATTTTACAAGCATTATGTGCATTGTATCATCCCATCCTTGCATTAGACATAGGAAGTAGGTGCTACTGTTACCTCTGATTCAGAGATGAATAAACCAAGGCTTAAAGAAGATAATCACTAACCCAAGGGCTTAAAGTTGTTTTTTTTTCTTTTCTAAAGTATTATCTTATTTAACTTTATTTATTTAATTTTATTTTAATTTAACCAGAAAGGGAGGGAGGAAGAGAGAGAGAGAGAGAGAGAGTGAGAGAGAGCAAGCAAGCAGCCAGGTCCAGGACTCTAACTGTGGTCAGCCAAGTGGAGTCCAGCACCCTTACTCACCATATTACTTGCTGCTCCCTGGCTTAAAGTTTTTAAATGCTGAAGTCAAGGCTTGAACTCAAGTAGTAAGACTTTGGAGAACACACTCTTAATTAGACACTGCTTTCTACCTCCATTTGTGTACAACATTCACACACACATACACACATGGCAGCACCCATATATGCACACAGGTACCAGCATGCATACATGTAGCTACTCGCAGACAGGCACATGGGAGCATACACATACTCACTGACACTCACATATGGATAGCAGACATATGCATTTGCCAACACAGAGGCCCTCAATGTACAAGGCACTGGCACTCATGAATATACAGATGCTAACATGTGTACATTGACTTATTATAATTTAGATTCAGAAATATGCACAGATGCTCACATATACCTTAGTGCAGAAAAAAGGGCTACATCCAGTATTCATGTGTGTACATGTATTTGCACACATGTGTGTATACATGGATGTGCATATATGAGGGGTTTTGCAAAAGTTCGTGGAAAATGTATATTATTTTAAAAACTATGCATGTATTTTAAAATAATTTATTTAATTTAATTTATTATTATTATTATTATTATTTTGCTTTGAGCATGTGCACTCATGAGAGAGATAGAAAATGATAAAGCATGCTGCCAGGTCTGGGACTCGAACTGTGGTCAGCCATGTGGGAGTCTAGCACTTTAACCACCATGCCACCTGCTGGCCCATGTGCATGGATTTTTTATTTTTTGGTGTGAAAGTTTTTTGCACTGAAATAAACATACTTTAATTCTATTTTTCCATGAACTTTTGAAGTCCTCTCATATTTGCCTACAAGACACAAGGCTTGGACCCAACTTCCCCAGAACCACAATTCTGGCCATGTCTCCTCTCCCATTAGCTTTCTTATTCCCTGACCCTCTACTGATATCTAGCTGGGCACTAGGACAAGAAAAGTCCAGCTCAGAGGACATGATGAAAATGGGTTCTGGAGCTAACATCTGGATAGTCTAGAGTTGAAGGATGATGGAGACAGTGAGAAGGACCAGGACCTGTGTTTGGAAAGACTGGCCGCTCGGTCCTGAGGGAGCACCTACAAGCAGCTAGCGTATGATGACAATGACGAGGTGTAAGGCAACTCTGATCTCCAGGAACTTAAATTCTACTTGGGGAAACAGGGCATGCCAATTCTAGGTAGCAAAAACTGCAGGCTGTGAGATGGAGACAGACGCTTCTGTAAGATTCTGAGAAGGGAGAATACAGCACAGCCTGGGAGCAGAGGGGAAGGGTCAATTCCAGTGAGGTTAGTCCTTTCAGCTTGCAAATGGAAACTGAGGACCAGTGAACACAAGCAGCATGTCCATTCTTCTTCTCTGCTACGATGTGTTGTCACCAGTTGGGCATGGGGCAGGAAGGAGAGGTGGAATCAAATGCCTGAAGGAAATTTGGAATGGAGGCCCCCAGAGGATAAATCTAACCCAACTTATTTCATAACCTCTCCTCACCTTGTCCCCCTCCTCCAATCTTTTTTTCCTGGGAAGGGCTGAAAATCACCTTCTCATTTCTCTTCTTTATCATATTAGATTCTCTCTTCTAAAACTATCAAATCCATTCACATTTCAACTCCGTTGACTCTGATCTTCTCTAAGCTTCTGTCATCTCTTATCTGGACTGCTTTAATAGCTTCCTAAGTGGTCTTTCTCTAGGCTCACCCCTCCCACACTACTCTGCAGCCAGTGAACATTGAAAGAAAAAGTCACTTCCTTCCTTCAAACCTTCCAACAGCTCTTGACCTTCCATGGGATGAGGTCTGCTTGCTTAGCTGCCAGACAAGTCATTCTGAGCCATTGCTGAATTTTCCAGCCTTGGCCCTTATACTTAACCCCTTCATAACCCATGTTCCAACCACACGGAATTTCTCACTATTCTTTGAGTAGTTCTGAAAGAAAACAAAACAAAACTTGTAAGTGCTTTCTTGTTGCCTGGAAGGCCTTTTTCTCCTCTAGAGGTAACAACTTTAGGACTCAACTTTTTTTATTATATTATTTTTTTTTTCTTCCACGAGAAAGTCAAGAACCTGAGACCCAACAGGGTCCTTACACCACAATCTACTCATCTCAGCTGGCCAGGATCATGGACATACATATGTCAAATGTGCCCAGGGAGGTCCCAGGACATGAACCTAGGTCTTCTCCCATTTAAGTCCACTTACGTTACCACTGCACTACCACCTGGCCCCAGGACTCAACTATGGAGTCATTTATCTTATGAAATCTTCTTAACCCTCCTGATCAGTCTAGAGCTGGTTATACCATGCTTTGAAACCCCCTTCTCTACAGACATTTAGTATCATAAGTATCCTTACATATGTGCACAAGAATGAGGAGAAAGAGAGATAAAGAGGGTATATCCTCAGCACCTTTGATCACGTTGTATTCCCTTACCCCAGACTTGCAGCTCTAGAATCTTGGTCACCCATGCACGTGCCCTGTATATTTTGAGGCCAACACAAAGATTCAAATCATTGGTCATCCATGTGGCTCCCAGCACTATAGACCAGTGCACTGTAGACTGCATCACCTAAATTGGGCCTGACAGGGGGATAACTTGTGTACCATAGAATACTGTGTAGGTTGACTGAGTCTGCAGTGTGTTAGAGCAGCCTGGATTGGACCTATTTTATGTCAATGACTAAATCCAACTTCAAATTAATTGAGAAGACCCTCAACTTTAAAAGGCAGAACTCTTAGACTCTGGGCCTCTGACTATCCTTACCAGTGCCACCAAGCCTGTGTGAAATGGGAGTAGTATCTGCTCTAAGAACTCAGAGGATTGCTAGAGAAATAAAGGGGGCAAAGGATGTGAAGTCACTGCATTGCATGAAGCCCATACAATGCGTAAAGCAACATTATCATCATCACCATTTATACTGCGGCATAGTTCTATTTTTAAAAAATATAGCATATGCTCTTTTTAAAAATAATTATTTATTTTATTTATTATCATTACTATTTAATTTACTGTAGAGCACATGCACTCATGAGAGAGAGAGAGAAAGTAAGAAAGTAAGCCATCAGTTCTGAGACTAGACCCATGGTCAACTATGTGGGAGTCCAGCACCTTAATCACCATGCCACATGCTGGCCTGATATTTCTATTTTAATGGATTAAGCTGCTTTTTATATCTTTTTATTTGTCCATTTACCTCGTAGATGTAAGCAAAAGGAGACCGTTTTAAAAGTTCTTTGTGTTTTCCAGAAATAGGACTCACGGGAGTATGTGACAGGGACCGTTCTCTCTCTTGGCACATGGAATAATACTTTATCAGGGCCAGCAGGTGGCATGGTGTTTAAAGGTGGTGTATTTCCAAATGGCTGACTGCGGCTTGCTCTCTCCCTTTCCCTTTCTCTCTCTCTCTGGTCATATTAAAAATAATAATAAATGGAATTAAATAAATAACTAGTTCTTTAAAAATACCTACTATACACAGACTAGTGTGCTAAATATTATATATTTATTATCTTCATCCTCACAAAAGTCCTTGAAGACAGGAGCTGATATTCCATTTTACAGAAAAAGAAGCTAAGACATCAAGAGGTTTAGGGAACTCATCTGTGCCACACAGGTAACTAACACATGCCTGCCATTTATTTAGTGCCTGTGGTGGTGGTGGGATCAGCACTCTAAGTTTCATATTTTGGAGATGAGGATAGGTGATTCAAGAACATTCGCTGACTTGGTCAACATTGCATAGTTAGGAAGTGACAGAATCTAAGACTAGAACCAGACTTGCTTAAGTATAATGTGGGTACTCTTTCTTTTTGCTTTTTATATCTTTTTATTTGTCCATTTACCTCGTAGATGTAAGCAAAAGGAGACCGTTTTAAAAGTTCTTTGTGTTTTCCAGAAATAGGACTCACGGGAGTATGTGACAGGGACCGTTCTCTCTCTTGGCACATGGAATAATACTTTATCAGGGCCAGCAGGTGGCATGGTGTTTAAAGGTGGTGTATTTCCAAATGGCTGACTGCGGCTCAAGTCCCAGACCTGGCGGCTTGCTCTCTCCCTTTCCCTTTCTCTCTCTCTCTGGTCATATTAAAAATAATAATAAATGGAATTAAATAAATAACTAGTTCTTTAAAAATACCTACTATACACAGACTAGTGTGCTAAATATTATATATTTATTATCTTCATCCTCACAAAAGTCCTTGAAGACAGGAGCTGATATTCCATTTTACAGAAAAAGAAGCTAAGACATCAAGAGGTTTAGGGAACTCATCCGTGCCACACAGGTAACTAACACATGCC